CAGATCTGCACCTCCAGAAAAGGGTAGAGGGATGGACCCCAAATCAAAACAGCGGCAACGATCTGAGGAGAAACAAACTAATTTACTAAATAAGATACCGGAATGCAAGATAACACATTATAATACAGTATAATACAATATAATTAGAATTGGGGCTAATAAATCAAATATAATGAGAGAGAGTGTCTGAAAGGTGAGAAGGTCTCATCATAATGCTGAGGTGAGATGCACAGTCGGGTCGAACAGCAGGGAGGAGAGAGACGGAAAAAGGGAAAAGAGAAAGTCAGGTGACATACCAAGGCCTTATATCTGTTCCCCCTGAGCAGAAATGATAACAATACAGCGAATAGTCTTCAGGGGAATGTAGTAGTTCTCTTCCAGGACAGGTACCCGCACCTGGAGCATTAACTCTTTAACTCCCAGTGCACTACATGATGCTGTAATGTGGAATACCAATAACCAAAAATCATAAAACCATGACATTCTGTCATCCCAGGACTGTGAGAATTTGTGCTGTGAAGAGTCCAGGCATTATGTCTCCACAGTGATGGACATGCTTAAGGACTGAAACACTGTCAAGTTCAGGACTGTGAAGCAAACTTCTACCTGCGCATAGAATGAATTAAAAGCTAAACCAAGTGCAAAATTCAAGCTCTAGCTCTTAGCAGTGCGTTATTTAGTGTTGTTTTCTTTTTAAACAACAAAAAACTTCTCTTTGGATTGACTTATTCTACTACAAAAGTAATTTCATTTGTTTTTTTAAAAAATAAATAGCCATTATTATGAATGTTTTGACTTTACTTTTGTGTAAGCAGGTGCTACTTGTCTTACATGAAAATGTATCATTTCTTCAAATTATTGTTTAATATTTGCATATCACTGTCATATACCCTTGCATTAGTAGAGGGATCTTTTCCTTTTTCTAAAATTAAAATCTTATAATCTAAATATATAAACGGATGAAAATGCATGCCTAGGGAAGAAAAAAAAAAATCAAACAACTCACAAAGTCAACCTACACAGCTTCAGGAAAGTAAAACCGAAGTTTGAGGAAAGTAAAGCAGAGTATCATGAGTGAGGATCATTGGCAAAATGACGGCAAGGAGGCCCTCACTGCATTGTACTGCTGCCCCCTTACGGACAAAGGACACGATGACCATGAGGAGGCTGATCAGAGGCCTAAAAACTCTAGGTGACAAGCGAGGTTTAACTGTAGGAGTTTTGGAACAGTTCTTTTGCCTTTATGTATGTCACTGGACTCGACCTGGTTGCTTTTGTACTCTGAGGCATAGAATCACAGAATCATTAAGGTTGGAAAAGATCACTTAAGATCATCTAGTCCAACCTCAAACCATCCCTACCATGCCCCAAAACCATGTCCCTCAGTATCACATCTACACAGTTTTTGAACACTTCCAGGGATGTTGACTCCATCACCTCCCTGGGCAGCCTGCGCCACTGCCTCACCACTCTTTCTGAGAAAAAAAATTTCATAATATACAGCCTGAACCCTAAGGCCATTCCCCACTGTCCTATCACTGTCACATGGGAGTAGAGGCTGACCCTCGCCTCACTACAACACTTTCAGGTAACTGTAGATAGCAATAAGGTCTCCTCAGAACATCCTCTTCTCTGGGTTAAACAATCCCGGTTCCCTCAGCTGCTCCTTATAAGACTGGTGCTCCAGACCCCTCACCAGCTTTGTTGCCCTTCTCTGGACACACTCCAGGGCCTCAATGTCTTTCTTGTAGTGAGGGGCCCAAAACTGAACACAGTACTCAAAGTGGTGGCTTCAACAGAGCTGCGTATAGAGATGATCACCTCCCTACTCCTGCTGGCTGTACCATTTCTGATACAAGCCAGGATGCCATTGGCCATCTTGGCCATAGGCACACTGCAGGCTCATGGTCAGCTGGCTCATGGTCAGCTAATACACCAAGATCCTTTCTTTCATGCAGCTTTCCAGCCACTCTGCCCCAAGCCTGTAGTATTTCCTGGGGTTCTTGTAGTCCAAGGGTAGGACCCAGCACCTGATCTTGTTGAACTTCATCCCAATGGCCTCAAACCAGCTATCCAGCCTGTCCAGATCCCTCTGTAGGGCATTCCTACCCTCAGGCAGATCAATACTTTCTCCCAGCTTAGTGTTACCTGCAACCTTATTGAGGGTGCACTCAATCCCCTTGTTTGGAAACATGTTATTATCCCCGCACTCTGAACATACAAAGTGGTGGAAGCCTGTCCTGTGTTGAAAGTAGGGGGAGGCACTAAGAAAGGCAAAATCACAGAATCTCAGGATTTGGAAGAAACCTCAAAAGATTATTGAGTCCAAACATTCTGCTAAAGCAGGTCCCCTGCAATGAGTTTTACAGGTAAGTGTCCAGATGAGTCCTGAATATCTCCATGGAGGGAGATCCAAGGGATGGAACATCTCTCCTTCAAGGACAGGCTGAAAGAGTAGGGGCTGTTTAGCCTGGAGAAGAGAAAGTTCTGAGGTGATCTGATAGCAGCCTTTGAATCTCTATAGGGGAGTGACAAGAAAGAAGGGGATAGATTCTTTATCAATGTCTGTGGTGATAGAACAAGGGGAAATGGCTTCAAGCTTAAAGAGGGTAGACTTAGGTTGGATATAGGGAAAAAATCTTTTACAGTGTGGGTGGTGAGGCACTAGAAAAGTTATGTGGGCACCCCTGATCTGGCCATGGTGCCATCAGACTTTAAGCACTGAAAAAATAATTTGAAAGGATACTGTCAATAGATTAAGATGGCTCAAATATTATGGGGGATCTCAATTAAACACAGCATCATTCTGAAAAAGGTGCTACTGTGGGCTGTCAGGACATTTGAAGGACTCATCTCAAAGCAAAATATTGTGAGACAGTGGAAAGCTTTTCAAACAAAAGAGAAAGAAACAAACCTTGGGTTGTTGGTTAAAGTAAACTGTTAGGAGCTTCCTGTTATCAGGTTGGTGCTGAGATACTGAAGATGAAGATGATATTCTTTGATTTGTATTCTTCTTTCCCAGAAATGAGCACCTGTCCTCTTAGTCAACATTTTCTGTATTTTCTGTTGTCACAGTTCTAATTTAACCTTCAGCCTCATATACCTGAAATTTAACTTGATGAGTTGCTCCATTGCTTAAATGACTAGAAGTCACTTAAAATTAAAGTGCTTTTGTACTGTAAATTGTGAGATAGCTTCTCATTACTGCTACTATTATTGTGCAGTACTCACAAAATCTGGATGTTCATGATTGCTTTTGATGGCAAGTACAGTGATCACTCCAGCTGTTCCAATACTATAGCATGTTAAATTGATTCTGTAGTGAGCTTACATAAACATAAAATGTGTAACATGCATGGAAAAGAACACTATAAATTTAAATGGCTATGATCTAAACAAAATTTGGTAAGCTGCATGAGGCCTTTTGGGAAAATAAAAACAAAAACAAACCACCTTCTGGAACAGGGAATTCCCAAAGTGGGATCTTATGATTCTATGATCTATTGCTACAATTTTCAGGTCAGACAAACTGAGTTAATATGAGGGCAGCATAAATACTTGAACCTACTGAAGTCAATAGAAATTTGCACCATGTTTCTTAAAGTGAGTGGTTTGGGTAAGAAAAATGACCTCTTGCTCAGAATTCCCTCATCTTGACGGCTGAGACCACTGCTGCGTGCAAGATCCTGGATGAATCTCTCCTTCTGCATGCTCATATTTCACACCATTCAATTTGGAAAACACACACACATATACGCATATGTGTATAAATATATATATATATGTACTTGAGCATATATATCTGAAATATCTTCATGTGTCATTATGTAAAAGGGCTGCTCCGAAATTAATGCCTCCTACTTTATGATGCTGGTCCACAATGTCTGAGGTGGATGTTGGTGGTATGGCAGTAGAGGTTGAACCTTCTCACCAGCATTCTGTTATATTTTGTTTCTCTGTGACAGATAGCAGCAGAGGGGCAGTCTGACAGAATGGCAACATTCACTGAAGCTTGCTGACTGTATATAGAGACCAAGTAGTGTATGTGAGCACAGCAATGCACTGGGTGATGCATTTCAGTAGCGGTGACAGCAGGTCACCTCTTCTGGTGCAGATTTGCACGAGTGTGGTGTGCAGGTTTTTGTTCAATGCTGACAAAAATCCGTAGCTAATGGTCTTTGGCTCTGTTTAAAAGCAGCAGTTTGTAGTTGAGAATTTGTTCTATCAAATAGTGCTATTGTGTTCTTTGTGCTGTAGTTTCCATGGAAATAAATAGGAGGCATTACTTTCAGAGCAACTTACGTGTATATACTGTATATATATATATGCATATATACATATGTACATGATATATGGAGTATTTGTAATATATGGTGCACATACATACATATAACAGCATTAGAATGGATATTAATATCTGTGGGATATTCTGAATTCCTTTGAAAGAAGCTGCAACAGCACAGCCTGAGGTAACATCACACAATCCACTCCTTTCTTGCTGACACCACACTATTAGCTTTAGCAAACTAACAGCATTCTTGTGTTTTGATGACATCACTGTATCTAAACAGCAAAATGAATTCTAGAGAGGAGCGAAGAAGATCTGCACACAAGTGTTCAAGAGCAGCTATCTAAGCATCCCAAGCCTTGGCCTCAAACGGGCAGTGCATTCAGGTCCAACCACAGAGAACAGAATTAACTCAATGCCGCTCTCATTTGTTTTGCTTTTCTCCAAATGGAGCATTTCGTTACGCCCGGCGAAGCGCCCTCGGGACGCTCACTCTGCGTGCGCCCACCAGCTGCAGCTACCTTCAGAGCGGGATCCCCACCGTTCCCAGCCGCACGAGGTCTCGGCGCGAAAGGCTTTTCTTAACCTCAGAGATTGAACGAGAACACGCGCAGCCATCCTCCGCCTCTCAGCTCTGCTGCCGAGGGCCGGGCCCCGCGCAGGTGAGGGCGGCCGCGGAGCGGCGGGGCGGAGTCGGGGCGGGGCGGAGTGGCTGCGGCCGCACCGCCCCGCGCCGCAGGAAGCACCGCCCGTGCGCCTTCCTCCTTCTCTTCCTCCTCCGCCTCCGCCCGCCTCCTGCGGTGGCGGCACGGCCATGCAGCAGTACTTTTCCCTGGCCGACTGCGAGGTGATGGGCTTCGATCTGGATCACACGCTGTGCCGTTACCACCTCTCGCAGAGCGCGACGGTGAGTGCGGGCCGCTTCGCTCCGGCCGCCCGAGCGGAAGGGCGAATGGAGGCGTGCGGGGCCGGCCGGGGTCCCGGGTGCGGGGGGAGCCCAGCAGAGGGACGGAGAGCCACCGGGAAACGCGTGCAGAGGGGAGAAGCGGGAGCCCCTCTCTTTGCCCGCCCCCTCGGCAGGCCTCAGCCCGACCGGGGAGCGCTGCCGTGTCTTTGCCTTGGAAACGGCGCCTCCGGAGTGTTCTCCTGCCTGGAGTGGTGCTGCGAAAGGCAGAGTTCCCCCCCCGTCGGATCGCGAGGTGGTGCAGGCGGGCGGTTCGAAGTGCACAGCGCTTTCTGTAGGGGATCGTGGCAAACTTTGTCGTGCTTAGAACGGTGAGCATGAGGGCATTCAGCATCTCTGCCTCAGCGTTGCTGTCCGTCAGAGCCTGATGGCATGCGCTGTGCCTTCTGCCTCAGCGCTTCTTTTCTGCCTGGCCCCTTTCAGTCTCGGGTGTTCCATCTGCAGGTCTCCCCTCTGTTGAGGTCAGAATGCTGCACTGCTGAATGCTCCATCCCCATGGATGTTCTTCAGTGTGATATAGAAATAACTGTTTTTATAGAAACAACTGTAGCAATGGTGCAGTGCACCTTGCTCTGTAAAACTGCATTGCTTTCTAAAGTGGTGTTTGATATTCTGCAGAAATGCATCTTACTTACAGAAAGACACTTCTTAAATTTTGTTTGCTCTTCTCAAAAGGCAGAGGCTGGTTGTCACGTGCCCTTTGCATGCATCCTTACTGATGACCAATAAAGCACTTTAAATTGCTGGCATGAACACCAGAAGATACAGTTGTTACTGTTTGTCTTTCTCACTATTCAAAGTCATTCCAAGAGCAGCTCTGGGAGAACAGCTTTAATGAAAGAACTATGAGAAAAAGGGGCCTGGCATTATCTGCATAGACTTACTTGCACAACTTCACTGGCGCATTACAGTAAGAACTGGCTGAATGTTGTACTAGGCTTTAACACTACTCTTTCTGGCCTTAAGAATCTTTTACTTAGTAGTTGCTGTTTTCTTCAAAATATGTTTTATCAGGAATGTTTAAAATTTTCTGCATCCAGGTCTGGTGCCCCCAGTACAAAAAAGACAGAGCTGTTGGAGAGGGTCCAGAGGAGGGCCACAAAGATGATCAGAGGGCTGGAGCACCTCCCCTATGACAACAGGCTGAGGCAGCTGGGCTTGTTCAGCCTGGAGAAAAGAAGGCTGCAGGGTGACCTCATTGCAGCCTTTCAGTACCTAAAGAGAATCTATAAACAGGAGGGGAGTCAACTCCTTGAAAGGGTAGATAAGAGCAGGACAAGGGGAAATGGTTTTAAGCTGAGGGAAGATTTAGGTTGGATGTAAGGGGAAGTTATTTACTGTGAGGGTGGTGAGGTGCTGGAACAGGCTGCCCAGAGAGGTTTGTGAATGCCCATCCCTGGAGGTGTTGAAGGCCAGATTGCATGGGGCCCTGGGCAGTCTGGTCTAGCATTAGGTGGAATGGTTGGTGGCCCTGCGTGTGGCAGGGGGGTTGGAGATTCATGATCCTCGAGGTCCCTTCCAACCCTGGCAATTCTGTGATTCTGTGACTGCCTGTGGCAGGGGAGTTGGAGCTTGATTATCTTTGAGGTCTCTTCCAACCCAAGCCGTTCTATGACTCAGTGATTCTATGTTCACTAGCTGCAGTTGTTGGCAGGTTCAGATGCTACTTGTTGAATCTGGGTAACCGTGATATTTAAAAAAAAAAAAAAAAAAAAAAAAAAAAAAAAAAAAGATTTGGAAGGAAGAAGTAGTGACTGGCTTTGGGTGCTTAGTATCTTTGTTTCCCAGTAGTCTTGAAGCCCTAGGGCAGTAAGGTAGAACACTATACACTTGGTTATGCTACAGAAGTTGCCCCAGAACTATTGCATGAGCATCTTGAGCTGTTTTCCAGCTTACCAGAAGTAACTCAGGGACTACTGGTAAAATGCTGTGGGGCAGGGCCCCCAGGCTCCTTGTTTGCCTCTTCTTAGGTGGTACTAAAAGTTCACATCTTCCCAGGGAAAGCATTATCTTTAGATACCTTAATCAATGTAGTTAATACTGTTTTAATTTCTTATTTTATTTTCCCATCTATAGCTAATATATGATAGTTTTGCTCAGTATCTGGTAACGGAGAAGGGTTACGACAAAGACTTGCTGACTCTAAATCCAGAAAGCTTAGACTTCTGGTAAGTATGTTGAAAATAACATAAACTTTCATCATAACTTCCTTTATACTATTTGTAGTATACTTTTACAAAACTTGGAAAACAGCTTTTTAGACAGTTGTTAAGACTATCAAACCAAATAGGTAACTTCAAGTTTTTTCCAACAAGTATTTAAAACCATAAGTATTTCTCCTGAAATACTTCTAATATGATGTTTTGAAGAGAACTGAATATTGCTTTGTGCTTTCTATGAAATCTCTAAAAATTTTGTGGTTTAACTTGCTGAGATACGCCTCCTTTTTCTTCTACCCTTTACTCAACTGGTAAATACAGTAACCATCAGAATTTAGTCATATCTCCATGTTTCTCTTTACAGATGTATTTTTGTTTGTGTAAGGCAGAATAATCTCAACAGTCTTCTCAGGAACTGAGGAAAGGTGACATGCCAAGAAGTAGCCCTTGAGTGATGCTTTAGGCACAAAGCTGTAATGTAAGAAACTAAAACACAAGTTTCTGGTCTGAATTCAGTGGTATCTGAGGTGGAACTTTAATGTGAATCACTGATGTTCCAACTTGTATAGGTTATTATCTATGGCAAGAGTGTGGGGATTTGAAAGTCAGGTTATTGCTGTTTGTTTTGGCTTTGTTTTTCCTTAGGAGAAGCACAGGTGTTTTGTTTTCAATTTGTTTTTACAGTTCAGTATTTGACTGGTGAGTTTCCAAACATGTCTGATTGCAAATCTCATGTGATAACCAGGACTCTGAGGCATGAAATCTGTTGACATTTAGATATATCTACCTTGGTTCCATCCTGAAGCTGGGGGTTCCTTAGTGAGGATCTGCAAGCCCATAGTGCTGGTAGCATCGCGTTGATGCTTATCACCCAGGTGTCAAGTGTGAAAGAATAGTCTGCTAGCTGGGTTCAAAGCACATTGTCTTTCCTTTGGATACGATATAACACAATGAAGAAAGCATTACTTTTCCATTTTCTTTTATCTTTTCCAATATTATTCTAGATATTGAACTCTGATCTCATTTTTCAAACAAGCTAAGTAAATGTGAGTTCATTTTTCTGAAAGTTGTGAATTTACTAGGTGAGTTAGGAACTACTATGGCACATCTGTCCTACTCAGTGTACCCTTCACCTTGTGAGTGCAGACTAGCCTGACAATGCCTCTCTTCACATACTCTTATTCTGTTGTCTCACTGGAAATGATGTTCTATCTCTCTCTTCCTTAATATTAGTGTTACTGTTGCAGTAATAAGTAGGGCAGGTACAGTCAAAATGTGTATTTAATTTTCTTTAATAGTGGTTTAAACATCACATTTCTTAGTTGTATATGTTCAGGCCTTAATCCTCCAACCCTATCTATATGAATAATCACACTGAACTCACAGAACAATGGAACTGGATTTATTTAGTTGGAATTTGCTATGTAAGTGAAATCCAGCCCTCACTGTAATGATATGTATTTGCATACGTTACTTTCAAACATGAGAGTGCTTGAGGGGTTGTGATTTGTTGCTTTTAAGTGGCATTGTTATATAGCTTCTGTAACTGCATTTCACTATTCTGATACAAAGAGGCATTTTTCTGAAAACATTTTTCTTGTTTTTTCCTTAAAAAAAAACCAAACCAAAACAATTATTTTTAGTTGTAAAGGCTTGGCATTGGACTTTGAAGAAGGAAACTTCCTGAAGCTTGCGGAAGATGGAACAGTCTTGAGGTAATACTGACTACGTGTGCTTATTGTTAAACAAACATGACCATTTTATCCTCTTCTTGAAAGTCACCTCAGTTTTATTAAACATCTAATGTACTAGTTTCAATATATATTCATTTATGTAAAAATTTAAATGCTCTTGGGTAACCTAGTGTTCAGTATCTCTTAATGTTATAAACCTAGTATTTTCATAATATTTCCATATTAGCTGCTAGGAAGAATATATAATTTTTTATAAACATCTAAGATTGAGTGCATACTGATCTTGAAACTAAATTCACTTTTTTCAGTGGCTACCAATGTACTCTGTCCAATTCTGCTAAGATCCAGGGTAAGGTTTTTCTTTGAATTCTGAGTAACTTGAGTCAATCAGTGCTAATAACTAATGTTAATGACAAAGCAAATGTCTTTGTACCATATGTATTCAGAATTCTTGCAGATTTGCTACATGTAGCTTAAGTAGCCTGAGGTAAATTAAGCATAGAAACTGACACGCTCACTTGGGGAAGTCTTTTTTTCCCTCTTAAAATTAAATTTTCCCTTGAGTCATAATTTTAGTATATCTTTACTTCTTCCTTCCTTCTTTTTTTTCTTAAAAAAAAAAAAAAAAAAACCATGAAGATGCTAGGGGAAATCAGATCTCATTGAAGTCTTGGAAGGTGTCCCCGCCCATGACAGGGCAGATAGGAACTAAGTGATCTGTAAAGGTCCCTTCCAACACAAATTATTCTATGATCCTATCAAATAAGGAATGAAATATCTGTGAGTCTTTGTTATGCGCACAGAAATTCAGTTAGCACCATGAATTTCAAAGAGCTACATTTGGAATTCAAGACAAGAGGATATATTAATATAAAGAGAAGAGTGTTACCCAGGAAATGGAAGGATAACTAATACTGTTTCCTTCAAAATCGGGTTATGTATGTTCTTTAGGGGCACAGTTTGATGGTCAAGTTAGTGGATTTTTAATTCCTGAAAAGGCTTGTACCTATTTCTGTATTACATAGCTGCTTTGAGGGCTCAAACTAGAATTTTATCACAGTCCTGCCCTGCGTTCTGTGAATGTTACCAGGCTTCAGAACGGTGTATAGGCTTTCTGCTCTGTGTTTTATTGTGCAGCGTATATTGAAAGTTCAAGTATAATGTCCTCATACAATTGAGAACATTCGAGCAACACAGAGTGATTGTGTTAGGAGGTGAGGCACTGTATCCATGCCCTCAGCCAACCAGACGTTTGTGAACTAGAACTTATACTGGGGACTGTAGTGTTAAAAGTTACAAGTCAAAAGCTTAGGTCCTAGCAAACTTCAAATTGGGAACTCAAGTGAAGATAAACTTGCATGCACTTTGGTATTCAATTGCAGTTCATTACTGTTTCCTAGATCTAGTCTGAATGTTTTTAACCTTTTATTTTTCTCTCCATAATGCATCAAATAGGGCAAGTCATGGCACTAGGAGTATGACATCTGAAGAGATCCTGGAGATTTATGGAAGGAGGGAGTGGAAGCATTTTAGTACAGTCAGTGGAATGCTTTCCCGCTCAGGTAGCTATACCTCAGAATGTCCTGGTCTATGATTTGGCCCCTTCAGTGTTTATTGTAGTGTTAGTTCATCCTAAATCTATTTAAAAAAAAATACTTGAGATGAGAATTACTGACATATGTGAGTGTTTGGGGCAAAGGTTGTTTTTATATTTTTAACCTATATAATACTTAAATCACCAATTATAAGGCAAGTAATGAACAAGCTAACAGTATAGGTGTGTTTTGGCTATAGAGATGGGCACATTGTTTCTTGTTGAAGTAGTGAAGTTTATAGTCTCAATCTAATTTAAGAATAATTTAAAAAAAAATCAAGTTTGTCTTAATTGTTGACATGCTGCTGTCAGTGTTCTTACTAGAGGCCTAGCTTGAAGTGCAATTAACGGAGCAGGTATGGAAACACAACTGCTCATCTTGTGGTGGCAGCTGTTTAATTTTAAAGTGGGAGTCATGTTGTGAAGGCACTGTGATTAGGTTTCCACTTTAACTAGCCTTGTACTTTCTCCCAAATTTTCGTTAAGAATAGTAATTGTGAGTGATGCACATAAAGGTAAAAATGCTCGCTGTTAGTTGCACTGTCCCGTGTGATAGAGATGTTCTTTGTGATAGAGATGTTCTTTGCCATTTTGCTGTCATAAATTCTTTTGTCATCCTCACGCTGAACTACAGGTAAACTTTTGCAGCTGGGTAGAAAAGTACCTCAGCTATATGTACAAAAGAAACCTTTTGCATTCATTATTTAGTTCTCTTTCATAAATATTAGTCCTTGTTTTGCTGACTTATGTAATATATATAAGAGACGACACAGACAAGATCATTAATACAATGAAAGCATCACCTATTAAATCACATTTACTCCCAGAAAAGAATTGCAGAACATGACCTTAGTCTGGGAAAAATGCTTAGGCGCTTCTGACTTTTTTGTTCTGTTTTAGGACATCATAGAATAATGTGAGCATGTTTCCCACTGGGCTAAGTTTCTGTCTTTAGCATGTATTTTCAAAGGACAGGACTATCCCAGCCTTTGTTTTAGATGATTCAACCCGAATATCCAAGCGCCACCCGAGGGTGAAATGAATCCAGAGAGGATCCTGTCTTTTTTGCCCAGAAGCTAGACGAACGAAGAATTTCCTTGCAAATTCTTTGTTTTAGACAATGAAGGAAAGACAAAATCTGAAGTTTAACAGGTTATGAGACACTTGTACAGTGTGCCACTCATAGACAACTGTAACATCAGAGTAGCAAGGATGTTTTAGATAAGTTCTACAGCTAGAGATGCGGTTTTGTTGAAATCTGGGAATGCTGGAAAACCTCACAGAGAAATGATGAAACATTGCTTTTATTTTTCCATTTTGTTTCAATGATTCTTGAGTAATTCTATTTGGTAAATAAAATGCATCTGTCCACTTTGCTTTGGTTCATTCAATTTTTACTTGTATTTTATAAGATGCTGCTTTCAAAGTCACTTGACATTTCTTACACTGTCTTTCACTTTATGACAAATTGTATTGTTGTGGCATTTTCAAAATAAAACCACTCTGTTATCACTGAAGTGAAGCAATTCAACAGTCTCATAACAGACTAGGTCAGTGTTATCAAAAGGAAATACTTAGTCTGTGAGATCAGCAAGGGGAATATAGCACAATTCTCAGTAGCGCAGAGGAGAAGGGTAAAAATATGAAAACTGCCAAATGGTTTCAATTCCCATTAATACCCTAAATTCAGAAGTTATTAAAAGAAGGGCTGTAGCCAGTAAGAGTTGATCTCTCTCCTACCTGCATGTTTGGATTTGATGATCTTAGTGGTCTTTTCCAGCCTTAGTGATTCTATGATTCTATGTAAGACCTGTCAAATGTTTCTGAAACAACTTCTCAGTTGTACTCACAGTATTTCTTACTATTGGGGAAACTGATATTTTGGAATAGCTGAGCTGCACTGCCTTGACTTTTAAGACCCATTATTCATGTCCATCTCTTCCACCATGACTTTTAGAGTCTTAAAATGTTTCTAAAAATCTTATTGCTTTGGTGTAAGATAACCACTGTCAACTGCCAATTATGAGAATCAGAAATAGAAATAAAAGCTAACAAATGTATTATTAAGTTGGGAAACAAATAATGCTTATTATCATAAAATTCAAGGATCAGCTTGTAATACTATTTAAATATATTATTTATTTGTAAACCATGCAATACGTATTTAAAAACTAGAGGTTTGTTGTTTTGTTTTTTTTTTTCCAGCCAAATACTATCTGTATGATAATTATTTTGATCTACCAGGAGCCCTCCTGTGTGCAAGGGTTGTGGACAGTTTAGATCAGGTAAGAACTGGACTTTTTGAAATTAAATGTTCCATTATCTTTATCCTTTTCTGCCTCACTTGCTGTATGCATTCGACAGTGCATGCAAGTAATACATTCAGTGAAGTTAAGCTCTTTAGCTCTTCTTTCTTGTTTGGAATTTTTCATGCCAGACTTATCAGTGTATTAGAGCTATCTCCCACGTTACTTGTGACTTACTTGGCATGGTCAGAGTAAATGTACTTCCACCAGAGGGCACAAATAGCTAGGATAAGAACAAAGGAGTTATTTTCTCAAGTTTATTCTGTGATATGGAGAATATTCTTCTTAATTATATTGAATACTTAATAGAATACTGTGATTTTCCAGGTTGTTTTCATCTCCTAAGCAATAAATTAAATTTCAAGGTGGAAAATGAAATTGCTCCAACTTTTTTCAGTGCTTCTTAGATATACAATGTAGCTTAGATCCTATCTTTGATATTTGTTATCATTTGATTCAGTTGAGTCAAAGCAGAGTTGAAACTTCAACTTGAAGGTAGCTGTAGAAAAGGGCTTTTCTCATTGAGTAAAATATCTTAATGTCAATGAGGTATGGATATAATCTACTGTCTGAAGGTACTAAAGTAATGCAGCACTTTGTCTGCAGACTAGAATTGAGAATCGTGATGGGTATCTGCAGTCCCTTGGAGTATCACCTAACTTGATGTTTTAGGCTTAGATCCAAAATAGCATGCTGAGCAGATTGCTGTTTAAGTCCAACTGTTGCTTGAAGAGTTACCTAAAGCTAGCTTATTGGCAAACACTGAGGACAGGTACGTCATAAGAGTCTTAATTTCGTGCCTGATTAATCTCATTCCTTGCCTTCTCACAGCTTGGAATCCTCTCTCAGATGTCACAGATGTACTGTGTTGCTTTATTTTACAGTTAATTTAGACTTGGTACAAGTTGTTTGGCGCTGGGGAGAAAGAATGCTGCTAAAATGTGGCTCAGCACACATGTAGTATGCTTACATGTTCAGTTACTAGTTTACAAGCTGGAGCACTGTCCCTGGAGCAGTGCTGTCTTTATCTGGAAAGAAACCCATGCTCTATTTTTCCACAGAGCTGCTAGAAATGGTTCAAGCATTCTTCATCAGTTTCTTGAATATTTAACTGCACGCTAGCTCAATTTCAGTACAGGGACTGCAACAATTTTGTAAAATGTTACCATCAGCCAGATGATGAAGACACAAGGCAGGAGATTGTAGGCCTCTCTGGCACTTGTGCCCTGGACAAGTGCTGCAGTTGTTAAGCTATTTTATATGGTATCAAAATCATGGCATTTTAATTCCTTCAAACTGCTAAACAGAATTGTAGGCTTATATTTCTTCTTCTTGCAACTTGTATTAGTAAAGGCTACTTTTCCTTAAAATTTACAGAAAACATTCTAGGATTTGGAGAGTTTCCTACCAAAATAGATGGAGAACTAGGTTCCAGTTCAAAAAGGGTTCAGACAGGAGCTGGATGCTGCACTGCTCTACTCTGTTAAAGATATGTATGTACTTGATGAATTTGTGTATGTTTTCAGGCAAATGAGAGGAGCTTCTCAACATTTTGCATCTTTGAATTGAAGCTCTACACAAAATACTTTTTGTCTGATACTTTAGCTAATGAAATCAATGCATAGGCATGCTCATAGTTACCTCTCTGCTTTCAGGGAATTGGTCAGTTTTCTTTTATGTGCAGTAGCTCTGGATTTGCAGTGGGGTAGTTTTACAGTCATTTTGGTCACTTGTAAAAACCAAAGGTTTTGAGGGAAGTATACCACTTTTAAACTTCTATCCACTTGTCCTCAGAACAACACTCTTGAGGAACTGTTAGCTTGTTGCACTGATTTTTAGAAGAAGCAAGCAAATAAAACAATGAAACAAACAACAACAACAACAACAAAAACAAAAAAAAAACAAGACTAGAGTCATGGAGTATATGTAGAGCTTGCAGTTGAATCTGTCTGAGGGCTGGTGGTAGTATAGGCTACTGCTGTCACCACTAGACAGGCATTCCCTGACATCTCATGAATACAGCTTTGGATAACAACCTTGCTTAGCAGTTAACTAAACTGATATACACCTTTTTTAGTGCCTTTTCTCTCTGACAGTCCTTTTTATATATATCTGCAGTAGTTTGCTAGAAAAACGGATTTTGGGGTGACAGGGGAAGCAATAACACTATCTTTCCCACTCTTAATCTCTAAAGTGATGGATCATAAGTAGGCTACCAATAGTGCTTGTCAGTCACGTGTGAAAGGCCTTGTTACTGCTGCTTGATGGAGGTGAAATCGAGGGCAGACCTTTTTTCTTGAAGCCTCTGTGTCAGATTAGGCCTGAAATAGCAGTTTGCTACAAATAAACTGCATGTTTTTAGACATTTTAAATTCATTTTCACTTTCTAAATACATCCTTCTCTACTTACAAAATAAGTCTTTATTCAGGCACTAGTGCAGAGCTGAGCTGACAGGTTTAGGACATAGGGCAAAGCCATAAAAATCTGTCAACAGTTGCATCAAAACTTAAGCTTAAGTAGATGTGCAAAGCCTGCAACAACACTACAAAATACTTTCTATGGTGTAGAAACTGGCATCTGCTTTATTGCTGCCCTGTACTTGGTAACTGAGCACCTCTTACAAGCTCAGTAACTAATTATCTGCCCTATAATGTGCCTAGCTGTGTAATTGCACCTGAGTTTAACTCAACATTTTTAAAGTTTGTAGTGTTTGAGTCCCAGAGCACTCTGAGCTGCTTGAGAAGCTTTTTCTCTATCTTAATGAGACACTGGGAGGGCAGCTGAGGTCAGCAGAAGTGTTTCTGCACCTGGACAGCTTTCCAGGAAAAGTGGGAAGCTGATCACATTGAAGATTGTTTTTTCCCTTTCCTTCTGCCAGAGCAGGGGTTTGGCAACCTACAAAGCACAATGCAGCGTAGTGCTGCTCAGCCTGGCTTCTAAGTGTTTTATGTGGTGTTTAGGGTGGAGTTATTGGCAGAAGAACATTGCCACTATGTTATAGTGAAAGTTTTTACAAGTTGCAATGGTGGAAGGTGATACCAGTGCCAGGCTGTAGTTAATGTCAGCCTGTTAATTTAGTACAATGCCTGCAGCTCTAGGTGTTAATTTTTTCCTGGAAGTCAGCAGGATAGCTCATTCATTAAGTTGCTGTTCTTCCTAATGCTCCTCTTTGCTGTAAGATTTTAGGCTACTTATTGAGTAATTCAAAAGCAGACCTGCCTCCCATTATTCAGAGTTCACAGCTGAGTTCTGAGTCCTGCTTCCTACTGTCTAGGACTGCTCTTCTCCATTTTCATAATACTTTTATTTATTAATGGCGTTCTTCCCACTGTTTCAGTATAAAAGCTTGAAATGGCTGATACTTGATATAGTGACTAGATTCCTTTGACAATTACAGCATGATGGTCAGAAAAAATATGACTTCTGGAAGGACATGGTGGCTGCTATCCAGCATAATTATAAAATATCAGCTTTTAAAGGTAAGTAGGTTCACCAAAAACTTACTATAATAGCCAGAAATATTATGTATGTTTGCTGAAACAAATACATTTGCTACCATACTGTAGGTTACTCAACGTAGCTTTTACTTATCAGGCTCCTAAGTTGTTCTATTTACACATTTATCCTGCTATCATTGGTATTCTTAATTTGTTCATCTGGAGCTGTTTTGATATTTTTAATAGCACTTTTGATGTTTTACCTCACTGTCTTTAGAAGAAAAGTATTTGATTCGTACAATAACGTCAGCATTATTTGACTGTATTTAATTCTATTATTGGTGTTCTTGTATTTATGAATAAAATCAGATATGCACTGAAAAGAAAGGAAACTAATATTCAATACATTTTTAAATAGGTTTTCTTTAGCCCTTTAGTTTTGATTAGAATTCATTATGTATTGCATATGGATCATGCATAGTTAGCTTCCTTTTTAAAAAATAAATTTTACAGTAAGTTGTTATTTGGGAACATAATTTAAATCCTGATCCTTGAAATCATGTAAATAATCAATTTTATGTATGTAGGAGTGTCTGCTTGTGTGTACATGTATACACTTAAGTATATACATACACATTGTACCTATTTGTGTATGTAAGTGTGTAATCTGTAAGCAGATGTGTGATGTGACTTAATTCTTTTAAACTCCTTTCAGAACAGACACTTAATTTAATACACATAGTTTTCTGTTACAGGGGATATGAGGGATGTGCACAGCAGCAGTAAAATATGAGAAGTTATTAAGGGATAAACATGTTTTTTCTGGGGTGGGATGGGAATAGGTAGGGCTTTGTAAAATCAGCAGTAAGACAGTACAGATTGTACACAGTACTTTAATGCATGAAAGTGCTGAACTCTGTCATGCATCGTTTTGAAAACCTTGCAGTGGTCTTATTGTCCTTTTAATAATGTAGTCCAGTGGATGAGCAGGAAGATGGAAGAATTGGATATTATTTCTTCCTGTTTGACTTACCTGTGATATTTGCCTGAAGTATTGTCCTTTTACTTCAGGTCCCTCCTCTGTGAAATGGGAATAATAGTACTAATCTTCTGTGACAAGTTAATGCCAAAGACTTTTTCCTCTGGTGCAAGCTTAATGTAACTTTCTGAGGAAACTTAAAGCTGGCTCCATCCCAGTTTCGACATACCAGGAAGCCCCATGCTCTTTCTTTGTCCAGAGCCTGGACTAAAATGCATAAACCATGTCTTGACTTAACTCTGCTCCTTCATTGCCCTGTGAAGGGTTTAACCCTTTAGAGAAAAGCAGCACTCATTTGCAGATAGTCAAAGTAAATTTTCTAAAGCAAGCGTATTAAATGGTGAGCTGGGGAGACATCAAGTTCCCAAGTTAAAATAGCATCTTGCTAGTGCCATTGTCAGTGATGGAGCAGAACGACTGACCATTTTGTTTATTTGAAATTCATGTTTGCATGTCACTTCGTTTCTGGTTTGTTGTCAGTACGCCCTTGTTTATCTTTGTCCCTTCTCTTTATCACATGATTTCTTTGATCATTAGTCAGGTGTCTGATGGATTTTGCTTTTCATTGTCTTAGCCATGGTGATTGCCTTAGATAATGGCCCAACTATGTATTTTTTTTAGATGGCTATTTTAGATAGCCATGATTGTCATGACTCTCAGTTTATATCAACTCACTCTGCTACTTATTCTTAAAGTGAAGAACTGAGGCTTGCAGAAGAAGCCTAAGAAAGTTCCATGTAGTTTTGTTTTATTTGAATTTTGCTTTTCGAAAGCCAAAAATTTCAAGCAGTCTATTAAGAAATACTATTAGGTAAAAACATGATGTCAGACAGCAATGAACACTGGCATTTTTATTTTTAGGCAGGTCACTTTTTTAACCAACAATACGTGCAAGAATGCACTCTGCATAAATTATTCAGAATTCTTCTTGCCGATCTTTATTATTGGAATATTTTTTTGGCTTTAACATGATTAGTATTTCTTTTTTTTCCACTTAGTTTATATTCTATTCTCATTATAGTCATCAGTAAAGAACAATTCAGAGGAATCGTTATGTGGAAATTATAATTAATATTATGTAAATATGTAAAATTTTCAAATTTGGTGCTTTTGATAGAAAAATTGATGGTTCCTGCAGGAGGAAAATGCCCAATATAACTTCTTAGAGCATAATCTTATAAAATGTCTTCTCATAAAGACTGCTTTCTTTCTCTTGCATGATTGTCTTTCCCCATCATCTCCCAATCGTAACAGTAGCATCTATGATTATGTAGAGAGAATAATACACTTGTAATGTTTTCAATCAGTTTGTAACACTATATTTCATTTTGGAATTAGAAGGATCATGCCTGACATAGCAGATAAAACTTTATAAGCTGCCCATTTAAAAGCTTGGTGGGATATGCTGTCAGCTCTCAAGGGTGCTTGTGAAAAAATTGTTTAAAAGGTATATAGCAGATGAAGGAAGTGCTAGATCAAAAAACTTGTTGTTTAATAACTTGCATTTTGATTTTAGTTGTGTTGTGTTTTTTTTTAGGTAATTGAGCAATATTCTGAAGTGGCATGCTTCTATGTAGAAATTATATACTTTCTTTATACTTCAGGGAGAAAAGCTTTCTGGATTATGAAATACTTCATTCTCTCCCCTAAACATGTGCATGCAGACAAGTTTTTGATCACAACTCTATGCTATAACTCTTTTGTCTAGGCAGAAGATAACAGAATTGTCAGTGATATCTGCATTATGTTCTTTATATGTGACTTCAGAAACAACAAAGAGGAAAGATGCTTTTCTGATCAAAAAGGAGGAATCTTCAAAAAAGACTGTAACACTAGGATTTGTAATGTTGATGTAGTCTAGTGAAGAAAGATTAGTATTTTTCTTAGTTGTGAAAATGGTGGCAAACATGTAAGCTAGTAAATTTGTTATACATCTATTCTCAGATTTCCAGGTAAATTCATAAGTGATCATTTGGCTACTTCACATCTGACTATTTAAGAACTGATGAGGCTTGTCTCAAATTTCTTTTTTTCCAAAGCCTTTGGAAGAGAATTTTCTACTATTACTAAGACTCTTATATTTCAGTTTTAATCTCATGGGATTTTCTTCTAATACCACATCTGGAAAAAAATGTGGTTTTTGGAAGAGCTTTGTCTTCACATCTTCATGTGAGGAGGATATTTAAAAAAAAAAAAAAAGAAGAAGAAAAAAAAAGTGCTACAGACACCCCCAGTTTTTCCTTTTGGCTGTTCTGTCTGAGCTGCATGGCCATCATCTGCATTATGTGATTGTGTCCAACTCTTCTGAAGCCTGACATTCACTGGTGATAAAATTCTTTTCCAACATACTTTGCTTCTCCTATAATGTGCAATTAAACAGATCTAACTTATTTGAAGTACATATCTAAAAAATATGAATTAGCTTTTGTTTTAGTAAGAGTCTTAAACATTTTCTGAGTTTCTTCTAAACAGTGAATCCAGAGTAAATCTTTAAATTCTACTTGATCACAGTGTGAAGTGTAATCACTAGTTCTGTGGTGCTGAGCGGTTTTGTTAATGGCTTAACATCTGGACAGTTATGAAAAGTGTTCAAAAAGACAGGCCTGAGTACTAAGTTGTAGACTTGAACTCTGTGATTATAAGATCCTTTTACCATGTAAGTAAAATATAATTCCAAGACTATTATTTTTATCTCTGAATACGGTATTTCTTTAAAACACAATTTAGGAGCAAAGTTTGTCTCCAATTCAGGAGTTGTAAAGCTGTTCTGATTTTGGTATCAGCATGCATGTGAAAATATGTTCTCCTGAATTTGGTTTTAGTGTACTCCAATTATAATCATTTTACAGAATGTTAATTAGGAGCTTAAAAAAAAAAAAAAAGGTGAACTAGTTTTTTTACTGTAATTTACCAAATGTGTCTAACAGCTGTGATGGAAACTCTGGTCAACCTGGTCTAGGGTTAGATATGCATGGTGGCCCTGCATGAAGCAGGGAGGTTGGAGTTTGATGATCATTGAGATCCCTTCCAACCCAAGCCATTCCATGATTCTATGAGACCTGAGGGGAGGGTGCAAAGAAGACAGAGCCAGGCTCTTTACGATGGTGCCCAGTGCCAGGACAAGAGGTAGTGGGAATCTCCTGTGATCCATTTTGAGCCATCTGAACATCAGGAAACACCTCTTTACTATAGTATGCTGTAAATGGTGGATCAATGGAATAGATTACTGAGAGGTTACGGTGAGAGGTTGCGGAGTCTCTTTCCTTGAAGATCTTTAAAAGCTGTATGGGCTTGGTCCAGGGCAACCTGCTATAAATGCCCCTGTTTGAGCAGTGGGGTTGGACCAGATGACCTCAAGAGGTCCCTCCTGTCCTTAACCTTTCTGTGATTTCTACATTTCAAGACTGCTTGCTTTTCTCTATTGTTGGAGGTCTTAGACCTCTATTACCTTCAGTAATAGATTATGATTTCTAAATCTACCTTTCTCCAAGGCTGATTTTTCATTAGTAGGAAAAGCTGAACTGACTTACAAGTGACATATTATGTACTGTAATCAAGTTTTGTTTTCTTGACCTTTTTTTGATAGCTTAAAGATGAAGATATTTGATAGAAGACTAATGGTAAAGAAGTGTATTAACTGGTTATTATGATGACCATGTTGTGTCTGAAACTGTTTACTTTTGAATCAACTGAAGGTATCATTCAGTGTACCTGAGTGTGGTCTAGAGTCTTGGAAGAGGCTACTTTACCCATTAATGAGAAATGATAGAAATTCTGATTTACCCCCCCTTTTTAATGAAGAGAGAGAGACAGGTGTATTATATTAATTCATAAAATTTTAATGTTGCATTCAATTGGACAATTGATCATTGTTCAAAACAAATTTTCCATGACAAGTTCCTAAAAACATACAATATTTTTCTACTAGTTTTGAACCAATTGCTTTACTTTCTCACTGTCCTCAGTTTCTGTTCAAAATTGAAGTTACATGACCTGCTACGGACATATCACATCAGTGCCCAGTTAAAATGTCCTGAAGGAGAGTGTGTCAGGACATTGTAAGTGGGATGTTGTTAGATTTGAGCAAATAGGAAACCTGAGAAAGAAGAATGAACATATTCAGAGGAATAGAGACCATTGGATTCTGAATTTGGCAGCTGGAGCCACACTTGATCATTTTCCATGAGATCAATGACAGCACTGCCAGAGGCCTGGTCAAGGTATCCTTTCTGGTATTCATCATAAGTGTACATGACTGGGGAGCCATTTTTATAGAGTGCAACCCAAACATTTGTTCCTTTTGCATGTACATGATAGGAGAAGTAGTATAGTCCAGGGATCCTGCAGGTAAAGATTCCTGTCCTGGGATCATAGTGTTGCTGTCTGTTGTACAAGATTTTGTCAAATTTGATGGGGACTGTTGCCCCAGGGTAGGCTTTTGAGAGAATGACAGTGAAGGCAGACACTGGCATTCCTGTGAGAGCTTGATTTGCTCCTGCTTTCATGAAAGACATTCCTGATAGTTCTCGAGACTCTCCTTTAACATAACCTTCTGGGATTGTGGCTTGGCCAGGGGGACCAGGAGGGCCTGGGGGACCTGGTAAGCCAGGTTCTCCACTGTTGCCTTTAGGCCCAGGAGGTCCAGGTGGTCCCATGGGGCCTCTTAGACCTTTTGTAGCAATACCTGCTGGGCCTGGCAGTCCTGGTGCTCCTGGCTCACCTTTTGCACCAGGGGCTCCTGGCATGCCAGGGGGACCGATGGGACCTCTGATCCCGGGTATTCCTGAAGGTCCTCTTGGGCCTTGTTCACCATTAATACCTGGCACTCCCTTAACTCCTTGTGGTCCAACTGGACCAGGCAAGCCAGGTAAGCCAGCATGGCCAGTGTCACCTTTTTGGCCAGGGAGACCTGGATGTCCCTTAGGACCAGCAGGACCCTGCTCACCTGGGTATCCTGGTTTTCCATCTAATCCTGGTAGACCTCTTTCACCCTTGGCTCCTGGGAATCCTGCAGGGCCTGCAGGGCCCATATCACCTTTGGGTCCGGGTAAGCCATTCTCACCAGGCAAGCCTTTGAGTCCTTGAGGGCCCATATTTCCTGGGGGCCCAGCAGGACCTGGTTCTCCTGGCACACCAGCTGGGCCTTGGTCTCCTTTAGGTCCTGGAAAGCCAGAAGGTCCTTCAGGTCCTCTGTGTCCCTTCATCCCTGGCAATCCTGGCTTTCCAAATCCTGGAAGACCTGGGGATCCAGGCAAGCCTGCAGGTCCAGGGAATCCTTTGGCTCCAGGGATGCCTGCTGGTCCTGGTGGTCCCATTGGCCCAGGCTTGCCAATGCCAACTTCTCCAGGTTCTCCTGGTGGACCCTGGGGGCCTGGGATACCAGCTTCTCCACGTGCCCCTGGTAGACCTCTGTCACCTTTCATACCTGGCTGACCTGGAAGGCCGTTTTCTCCAGGCTTCCCTATTCCAGCAGGGCCAGGGAGGCCTTGGGGTCCCTGTGGTCCTGGAAGACCCCTGTTACCTGGGCGGCCTGGAACACCAAATCCCATTTCTCCTTTTTGTCCATTTATACCAGGAACACCTGGTTCTCCTTTCTCACCAGGGAGGCCTCTTGGCCCTTGAGCTCCTGGAGGGCCTTGTGGTCCTGGCTTTCCAGGGACAGACAGTCCTGCGGGGCCAGGAATTCCGGGGGGTCCTTGTGGCCCTCTTGCTCCTGGGAGCCCAACAGGTCCGGCTTCTCCTTTCTCACCATTTAATCCTCTTTCTCCTGGTTTCCCTGGTAGACCTGGCATGCCTGGTTTTCCAACAGTGGAGAATCCAGGTGGTCCTGGGGGACCGGGGGGACCTTGGGGACCGGGGCTTCCAAACCCTGGTTTTCCTGCGGGACCTGGTTGTCCTCTTGGTCCAATAGGGCCGGGGGGACCAGGGGGGCCTTGTTCGCCCCTCATCTGCACACCTGTATGAGAAGAAACAAGGGCAACCATGACATTTTGTACAATTGTGTAAGTTGTAAAAGCCCTTCCAGATTTGCATGTTTATTGCATGGTGAAGAATTAGCTTCATTTGGGCTTCACAGAAATCAAGTGTTTAACACTGTTGTTCACTCAGAACCTGAGCTGACTTTGACAGCAGAAGTGACCTAAGAGTCTCATTTGAATATGTAATAAGTGCAAATATGTTGGGAGTTGTCATGTGAGCTATTACGCCTTTACAATTTTTTTTTACATCAATTCATTTAGAGTAAAAAAAAAAAAAAAAAAAAATCAAAATATAGTGTACAAGTGAATGCAAAACATTAAGGAGGAAAGGAAACATGTAAATGATTTAGCAAGTTATGACTTGCATCTTGATAAATGAAAACAGGATGTTTCCAATAGAACTATGCTTTTTTTCCCTAAAACTACTTGGTACCTTTTCTTCTTAACCATCCGCAATGAGCTATAACTCTGCCTTTTCTTCTTACCACCCACAATGAGCTATAACTCTGGTGTTGTGTTGTTTTTATTTGTTTTATCTTTTTGTAAACATATGAATGTTTCTGAAGTATTGTCATCTTAAAGAATTGTTTGCTGTAATAATTGCACACAGTGACAAGATAACTGATATTTCACTGTAGTGTAGTCAGAGCTCAAGTTCTTTGAAAAAAAAAAAAAACAAGAAAAACAACAAATAATGATTCTTTTTGTCTTAGCTGTCAACAGCAGGTGGAGCCACTTAGCCAAACGTCACAAATAGAGGAATAAACAAGCTCAAAACTGTTTTCTCTGTACTTCATGGGAAATTTGTTGCTTCCTGTTGGAATTAGGATGATGATTTGAAACATATTACAGAGAAGATCAATATGAATATTGTGAGCCTATTTCACTGTTTTGCAGCAGCTCATACCACTATAGAACAAAATACCATAGTTATGATGAATACTAATTTAAGAAGGCATGCAAAAATCAGACTCTGAGGTGTATAAAAATAGCCTGGATTCTGATTTTCTGATGGGAATATATTCAGTTCATTGCTTATTTAGAAAAAAAAATCATTAACAATTGATTAGCTAAAGTTCTATTTGAGTCTTAGAATATGAACAGAGCATGTCTGTGTGTGTGTGTGTGTGTATTATATATATATGTATGAAGGTGTGTGCAATGAATATTTTCCTGTCTTTAGAAAACCAGAGTTTGTTATCTAATCTGTGGCTACTTCTGAACCAAATGAGATGAAAATAGAAATAATTTGTATATTTTTTAAAGAATATAATAAAGAAGTAAAGCTGTCAAATCAAAAATCAACTACAGATAGTAACTTTTTTTTTTGCTGATGCGTAAAGGCAGCATAAATTCATACTGTTGTTTTGCATGCATTTCTATCTCATCCTTCTTAAGTCAGAATTCAGAAAACACGGGCAAATCAAACCAAAACTTTGATGCAGACACTTAAATGAGTTGTTGACCTTGTGATGTTCCAGTTGTAAAATGAGAAGAAATATGAATAAGTTTTTACATCATTAGCATGAATTCTACTTTACTGAATTCAAAACCCGGCATTTATGTGTTTAATTTGCTAGAAGACAACTGTATTCCCAGCAAGGTGTACTTTTTTTTTTTATAATTCAGGGAACTATGTCCATCCTTCCACGTGTGTTCTGTTCTTTAGGAGTTGGAGTGAGTTGAATTTCTGCAGTGAAGTAGCACTGATATTCAATAGTGTTCAGGTAACATGCTGTTATTACACTTGACCTAATTGGGGGCTGGTAGGAAGCAATTGCTTCAGGCATCAGTTTCAGAATGCTTCTCCTTACTGTTTTTCAGTTTGTTTTAGGCGCAGTTTTGTATGTCTTAGTTTTGTAAAGTGACATGTGCTGCCTTTAGCAAAAGCTTCAGTATCTCTTGCAAATGTTATTGTGGACATTTTCTGTGAGGAGCTGACAAATGTCCTCATTTCAGATTTAAATATCTGGTGATTGCACTGTCTTAGAGACAGCAGAAGACAGATGGTCACATTAATGAAGTATAGGTTTTACCAAGAAAATTGAAGCAGTGGTTAACTACTTTTTTATGTGTCTTGGATGTATAAATCAACTTTACATCAAGACGCGTCAAGAGCAGTAAAACCTTATTTTTGGATAGAATTAAGTTTCAAGACTTCAGCATGACCTTCAGTAAAGGCCTATTAGCTTAAATATTGGTTCTATGATTATTCTCAACCAGGACTTTTCACAAAAAGTTCAGGGCAATGAGCAAAGGATAATGTTCTACTATACTAATACATATATATATATATATGTATATAATATGTATGTATATTAAATACAATAAATATTATATTCTAGTTCTGCGTTTATACTATGTTCTTTTAAATACTAAGTACTAGTATAGAAGTGGGAGTATGCAAATAAATTGAGGCAGTTTCAAGTTCTAAAATTTTTCCCTGCTGTGGACTATCCATGTCTCACTCCATGATTTGCCCTTTCTGTTGGTTCTGCTGTGGCTGTAGTAAAGGTTAGTTTTTTCAGTAGTTACATTTGTTGCACAGCAGGCCCTCACACCTGCACTGATCTGTATACTGATGAATATGTATACTGATGTTGCTTCTGCCAGGCAGAAAAACAACTGAGAGTTACAAAGGCAGTTTTAGTTTGATGCTGAGTGGGTCTACTAGAATATGAACTTGCCACCTGCAGAAATGAGCATAGAACTTCCATCCTATTCTGTTAGGTGCTATCAAGCACGTAACAAATGTTGGCACTATTTAGGCCCAGACTAAAATTTTGATTCCAGGCTGCTTTTTGACAATGCTATACAAAGCGAAAAGAACATGCTAGTAACTAAATCACTAGAAGATGATGTACAGTGAACAAATATGAGAAATAAGCTATAATTAAGATCTTGACATGTGCTACTTGAGGTACTTGCCTAAGGAACAACTCACTAGACAATACAGTCAGAGGTATTAATTTGGTTTTGCAGTCTCGTTTAGTTTTTCCATGACTATCTCAGGTTATAAGCAATGATTGTGTAACAGGGTGAGCCCTCTTAAATATCTTCTAAAATGTATCTGTAGGATACATTTTCCAGGTTGAGAAACAGCAGTTACTGTGTAGTCTTTCATTTTGATACTTTGTCACCAAACATGAAGTTTTGTCAAGCTGCTTTGCATGACTGGTGTCTTAAATCTGTAAAATTGTAAACTATTGCCACTTTTGTAGTCTGGTGAATAATCTTTGCTCCCTTTCCTAAATAGTCAGCATCTTACAATTGTCACAGGTCTATATAATCATTGTTTAGATTAAGAGGCTTAATGCAGATTAGATTCTTTGTTAATATAATGTGAAATATTAGTTCAGGACAGTTTCTTTCCCCTTTCCTTTTACCCCTTTTCATATTTAATTTGAACCTTTCTTTTCTTCTTAATTTATTTCTCTTCTCCCTCCCTTCCAACCCCCCCTTTCCCAGTGTTTTCTGTAGGCTTGGAAAAAAAAAAAAAAAAAAAAAAAAATTGCCTTGAGAAGAATAGAATTGAGTGAAATGTGGTAGATAATAAAGTACATAGTATACTTCACATGAAAAATGATATAATAGTGAATAAAATAACAGGAAAACACTGTGATCAGGTACTGGGAAGAGAAAGTGTAGCTTTAACCTTCTGGGAACTCCAGCTAGTAAGTCATAGCAGTACCTGTTCATGTACCTAAATTCAGTCTGAGAGTGCTGGTAGGATTACAGAAATTCCTTGTGCTGAAGATAAAGCTATAATAGAGATTATAGCAAGAGATAAAGCTATAATAGTGTTTTGGTGCAGCCCAGAAGAGCATTTTGAATGGGTAGGTTTCCCAGTCATGCTACTTTCACTTGTTTCTCACTAGAGAAAGTTTTTTGAAAACATGACATGGAGGCAGTTTGAGTGAGACTATAGCAGCATCTTTGAATTCAGTATGTACTTACTGCTCTTGTGTATCCAGTCCATAGGATTTGGCTAGAGCTGCTCTGAAATGAAACCTCATAAATGAGGATAATATGGATGCTGTGTCCTGAGGAGCTACTCTTCTGCTCTCCGGGTCTGCTTTTGTTTTCTAATGCAGACTTAAAATGTTCCTTTTCTAATGAAGTGTCCCTCCAACAGTTATTGTGTAACAGAAAGTTTATGCAAGTGTGCATCTTTATCAGTGGGAGGTAACTTCCTGTGTCACTGCCAATTCTTTCTGCAGTGATGAACTTATTAAAGTAAGCCTAAACTGTTAGTTTAATACCAATTGTACAAACAGTAAGCTTTTGTTCATGTGTTGATCCACTAGAACTTATTTTATGCTAGTTTATTATTAAAAAAAAAAATAGACTTACCTTGACTCTTTACATTGAATGGTAGAAAGTGTGGTGGCCCCTTGATGCTGGACTGTTTCTGGTATCGCTCGGAAAAGTATCCATCACTACCATGGACAATGTTTAGACAAAACAGCAGCAGTAAGGATATTTGTAAATGCATGTTTCCAAATCCGTCCTCTGTTAGAAAGGGGAGAAAACAGTGTTTTAAGTAGAAGTTGATAAGTGTCTTTTGCATAAATTGGTTTTCTTAAGATATCGGTATTAAAAGTTTCTTCGTGTGCTTGCTTTTTCCTGTCTGTGAGAAGTGCTGTAAGGAGAATAGAATCAACATTGCTAATTAAAGATTTGGAGTTCTTGTATGTCTAAGATATAAAAGAGATGGTTTAGAGGCAGCAGTCTCACATTTAGAAAAAAATAATCATTTTAAATAAGTGTACTTGAAACCACTAACTTCAAAAACAGTAGTAATTTTTCTAATTACTCCAGGGCCCAAAAACTAAGTTCAGGAGACACGTATATCAGCTCCTGGAGTGAAGAAAAGGTTTCATAGGTAATATGTAGGCTATATACCATGATGTTATTGCCCCTGTCTAATGCTATAGTAAATTCCATGAAGGGTAAAGTTCTGGCTCCTTCAGCATCCATGGCAAAAATCTCATGCTGAAATGAAGTTTTTGTTTGCAATCTGTTGAATAACCCCAGTAGCAGTTAGGAGGCTGATGCTGGCCATTAAACATCAACTCTGTTGCAACCCCAACTAGCCAACATATCCTATAGATTTTAGCATCAAAACCATATAGAATAAAATGAAATAAAAACATACCAAGTGTTGTGGAGCTCCAATGCAAGGCAGTAGAGTGGCAAATCCCCCTCTAGTGAGGAGTTCTTCTGCCACCGGTGAGTGAGCAGAAGCTGATGATTTCAAGTGTCACCCTTGACTATTTATACGATTTTCACCCTAGTTTGGTGACTGCTGTACATAAGCTCCTCCCCAAGAGTCAGTAAGCAGTAATTATCTGTGTGTATGTGTGTTTTTTAGGGGTGAGGGAAGCTATTTTTGGTAGGGATTTTAGGTCCTGTTAAGCCTTTTTTTTATTTCTTCTTCTCTTGGACCTCTTATTGTTGATGAAATATAGTTCGTGTTTTCTAAAGTTTGGCATCCTTTCTGGTTTTAGAAATGAGAAAGGTTACAATGGAAAAACTTGTAAGTAAGGTTTATCATTTTTAGGTGCTTCATTTGGATTTTTCTGTGAATGTTTTAACTGAAGAATTACATGTTTTGAACTTTTGAGGTGTTACTTTCAGAAGTACTCCTCTCAGATTATGCGAATAGTTATTCACTAAGGTACAAATAGAGAGCCTAGAATCAGTTATGATGTTAATTTGAGAGCTGTGTATGAATCTGAAGGTTATTTTTAACCAGTTATTGTATTCAGAGATTGTCTCCAAAATCATATTTCTAAGCTTGTAACTGTTCTGATATTGGAGGTATGATATACCTATTTTATGTATGCTGTAAGTAATGTTTCTGACATATAAGCTTACATTGCACTATGAAAACTATTATATTAGTAATATATGTAATAAATGTATTGAAATCCATACTGCTGAAGTTTTACACAAGCTGCTGTGTGAGTCTGATGGGACTTCTTTGATCTTTTCTGTTGTCAGTAATTAATATATATATTATTTTTTTTTAAACATGCTCATTCAACTGTAATTACTGCTCTATTTTGACCAGGTGCATTTTGTTCCCATTACATTACTTCAGTTTAGTAAACTTATGCTATGGCTGTTTTAGCGTTGGCTCAAACTTGATTACAGCTTTTCTTATTTTTCCTTTAGGTTATGGATTGATTTTAACTGATCTTGTTTAATAGACTGTATCCACACATTGTGATTTCTTTCTGAATAAATGGTAGAATCTGACAGCGTTTTAGCATCATCTTTAATTTTCAGTATTGAATAGTCAGCAGTTTTTAGTTTTGATTTATTTGTGAAAACAGTATTTGAGATCGGAAATGACAGAATAAACAAACCTTTCTTGCTTAGGAAGAAACCATACAACTAAATATATAGTGCATTATCAAATATTCTCAGCAAAAAATACCCACATTTAAGTTATCTGTGTTAAAATTTCTTTACAATTTGATTTTTATATATATGTGTGCGTATATGTATGTTTTAACATTGTTACATCATGTTCAGTCTTATGGGAGTTAGGTTTTTGGGTGTGTTTGAAATTCTTAGTTTCTTTTGTGTTGAAGATTGGTGGGGGAAAAATGTAGCTATCTGTTTTCACTAGAGTAAACTGGGCACATGCTACGAGTTACTGTGATGAAGTTAACATGTCAAGTTGCATTTATTTTATCATTTGTGGAAGCCATCTGGAGAGTAATATCTATGCAGAAGATTACATGTGCACCCATGTCCTAATACCAATGGTAGAAATATTTTAATTATGGAAAGGATATATATATACTACATACTGTACATATTATAGGAATTTATTTTACTCTAGGAATACTAGCAAATAACCTGTGCTACCATGAGTTCTCATGCATGGTAGGTTCTGAAGGGACACCTGTTACCTTTCCAGGCAGTAGATTGAGCTATTGGCCCTGAACTGTTCAGCTATCTTGTAGAATGACAGGTTAACATGGGCTGAATTCTACCTGCTTTTTGTCTTTGTTTAATTCCACACTCTCCCAGTGACAAAATTTTTTGGCTTCTGTGTATTGTGGCAAATATCCTAGAACACAAGTTACTGTACTGAAAGAGACCAGTGGACCATCAAGTCTATTCTGCTTACAGTTGTGCTAATACATTTGCTTATTAGAGGACTGTATTGAAGTTTGATTTAAAGACTGCTGCAATAATTTATTTAAAGTACTGTTAAACAGTTCTTTTCTTCTATTCTTCTTTCTAGCCGTCCCCTAAACAACGTTGTGTTCCATTTTTGTAAATAAACCCTTTCCTCTGAGGAGATCTTCATACTGTTTTCCCTATTTAGCTTGTGTGCCCAATCCAATCACTGGTTTTCATAGAATATCTGTATGTCTGAGATTACATTTCTATTCTTTGTGTGCATTAACTCCTTTTAATGTTTTGAAGAAAGAAACTTTGTCCGCAAGTTGTTTGTGTAAAGCCTTAAGCTCCTTCATTTAAATATTGGTCTCTATAAATTCAAGTGAGAATCCTGACAGAAGCAGCAGAAAACAACTTCAATCTTTTTTTTCTTTTTTTTTTTTTTTTGATTCACATAAATCCAAAAATAACTTTTGATTTTAAAACATTTAAATATATAGCCCTAAGTGGTAAGTGTGGTTGTTGCTAATTTGACAATGTTTGGTTAAGTTAGGAACAGCAGGCAACAGTTCTTTGCGTGTACCGTTTCATGCTAATTTCTAGCCTAATTCATAAATACCCCCAAGGCAGACACACTTATGTTACAAAGGCACCAATAATGTACACCCCTATTTGTTCAGCAGTCTCACTTCCTGCCTTGTCTCCTCTTGGGGAGAGAGGTGAATAATCTCTCTGTCTTTGTGTAAATAGCGATGATTACAGGGTCAAAAGGTACATACAGGTAAAACTGTTGTCCTTTAATGTGAGCTCCACCCTATTGTACTATCTTGTGCTACTTCTTTGGTTTGAGGTTTTGTTTTTTGTGGTTGTGGGAAATAGGGGTGGAATTGGAATATGCTTCTTTTGTATGTATTCCTTGTTGCTGTGGGTGTTTCCTGTTGGCATAACACTAATATGCATTTAGCTCTCAAGCATGCCTTCGAAGGTTGGCTTTTTTGTGTATATTTGCATGTGCAAAAATACGTGTAGTAGGCACTATGCTTATTTACAGTAACTGCACATTTTTAAAAAAGGTTATTTTCATATCTCTTGGCAAGGTATAACCATTCAGACGTTTTTGTTTTGTAGCTGTGCACTTTCCTTTTGGGTGTAGGAGTCTTCACTCCTTCCTCCTCCTTCTGTCCCACTACTGTAACACTCAGGAATAACTCTGGGACACCTTTAACCACTGTACCATTCCAAAACTTGCTTTTACTTTGGTATTGGCCCCCTCATTCCATGTGAAAGCAGCATAGTAGTACTTCTTCAAGATTGGACTTTAGCTATGTCATTGCTGAACTTAGCTGCAAAAAGACTCAGAATAGAATTTCTGTGGACTGTATGAATTAGATACTGAAATCCCAGAGTCCTTAATGCTGGCCAAGTGTTGCCTGTTCATCAGCAAGCACATATGCTTTCCGAAAATCTGTTTCTTACTCCAACGGAGCCGTGAAAACACATGGATAAGTTTTGTAGGAATGACACTATGCTTTGGGAGGTGGGAACTGATTTCACTACAATCCTGCAAGTTATTCAAAAGGTGAATAGAATGAGTGGCACAGTAAGCAGCTGCTTACAAGGAAGTAATGCGGAATTAATTAAGCATAAACTGGAATAAAACAACCACTTCCTTTCTCACATAGACATGCAGATGCACAGAAGCACCTGAAACTGCTGAAGCAAGTCTCAGAGAATGGCTAGTCTAGGTTTTACACCAAATAGGAATTGGCAATGTATGTTCCTAATGCTGAAGATATTCATTGTGAATATGCTTAGATTTGTTTTGACTTAAAGATACTGAGCCACAAAGTAATGCTTTCTGTTGTAAGTCAGTTGCAATGTTATTATCTGCCTGAAGTGAACTTTGAAAAATCTGCCATAGTCTGTGGTGAATCTTTCTGTGTAAGAGTGCTTATACCAAAAACTTGTGGAAGCCCTAGTGGTTTCTAACTAAGTTGACTCTAGGGAAGAAATTCTCCAGCCTCCAATTTAAATTCTATTAGCACAGATTTCTAGGAGTCATGGATTTCTAGGAGAAATTTGAAAGCCTGCCATGAAATAAGAGAAGTAATTGGTTTTTCTAGTTTGTGGTGCACTTAGGATGCTCTGGATGCTCGGAAGTAATCTCTGCTCCATGGGTTAAAACTGTCCAGCTGTCCTTTTCTATTACATAATGCTGAACAGTCTTCACACGTTCACGTAGTAATGGCCAGATGAGCTGTAAATGGATGTGCAGAGGAACAAAATGTTCTCTTGTACCTTTTTAAATGGAGAGTACTAATACAGAACTTTTTCTCCTTTCTGTTCAAGAAATAGGAACAGGATCGTTTTTTAATTCAGTACTTGATGGAAGTCTGGGTGGTTCTTCTTTGTTGTTGTTTATTTTAAATGTGTAGCTTTTATTTGTTTCACTTGTCATCACTGTTTCATTTCATCATTGCTGCTATTTTGTATTTACATGGAGGCTACTTTGTATTCCAACATTAGCCACTTGGACTCCGTAAGGTAGAAAACATCTTGGTGGAGAAATGATTTACCACTCTAGTCGCAAAGTAAGTAGGATTTCTTCTGAGTTTCAAAATGCATAAGTGCTTTATTGAGGGAATCTGCAGGGCTATGTAGTTCTGATAGTACTTTTGGGATACAATAAGGAATTCCCTCCTCAAATAAAGTAAAAGCTACTGTGTTAGCCCTACTCTTTCATGCTAATCTTTTTATAGGTATAAAACCTTTATATTTTTAATGGGTGTAACTGTGGTTGAATAAGCATCCTGCTTTGAAGCAGTAATGGAAAGATGGTCTTTATTTGTTCTGGTACTGCAAAACTGTCTATTGTATGTTGTGTTCAAGTATGTTGATCTCAAAAGCTTTATTTAGTATAGCAATATGTTTAAATAGATGACAGTTAAATATTTACGTTTGCTTTCTGATGAGTTAACCTGCACAGACACTGAATAAACGTGCTGATGTAGGAAGTGATGTGTAGAGAACATTTTGAGACTGACATGGATTTTGTATTACATATTCCTCATATTCAGATAGTGTTATTGATGCTTTTTAACCTCACTACAATATTTGTGGTTCTATTTCATAGAAATTGTATAAAACTATGACAATTTTTAACCAAGAAAACTTATGATACTTGAATGAAATATACCAAAAAGAAATACTGTGTTAGAAAAGATGTTTCCAGTTCCTCAGATATGCTGCTGGCCTGACCTGAGTTTTATTCATTTTCCCCTTTCTTTGAAAGTAAAAACAAGTATTTATCAAATTAATGCATTAAATTGAAACTCATAGCAGAGGTATGAGCTTTAAATAAAAACTGATTAGATTTCAAGATACTGAAAGCAGAAAGCAGTTTATATACATTGATACTCATACTTTTTATCACAAATGTTTTTCTGAATCAGTTCAGTGCATTCAGGAAATGCCAAGAATTTCATCTTTCTCACAGTGCAATAACACAGAAAGAAGAATCCACTTTCCTTTGTGCACAGTTTTAGGAAAAAAAAAAAAAATCAAAGGGTCTGTATGCTGAATGATCCAAGCAAGTAAGAGAATTTGGCCTTGGATTTTTAGGGGAGGGCTCCACAAAACTATTTCTGATGCTGTTTAAACAAAGCCATCTGAAGAGATTTCCTGTTCCTTTTAACCCATGAATGCTCATTTTCAGCTTTTTCTGTGATATTGGCTGCACTCTTGGTTGTATTAATATGAAACTTCTGTAAGCTGAACTAGTAAGAATTTAATTTTGAATAAAATGCAACCAAGACTTTACAAGGAATGCTGGAAGGAGAGAGGCTTGTTTTTCTATAAGTCATTTCACAGGACATGTTAAGTGATATAAAGC